GGACACCTTCTACATTATGTCATGCTACCAAGACAAGGAATCATATCGGCTCTACCTAATACATAGAAACAAGTGTACAAGCTACCAAAATGAGGAAATAAAGAGGCATAGTCCAAATGAAAGAATAGAACAAAACCCCAGAAAAAGAATGAAACAAAATGGAGACAAACAACTACTAGATGCAGAGTTCAAAACACTGGCTATAAAGATGCTCAAGGAACTTAGTGAGGACTTCAAAATAAAAAAAATCCAGCCAGAAGTAACAGATACACTAATTGAAATAAAGAACAATTTTCAGGGAACAACGATAGAGTAGATGAAGCTGAGAATCAAATCAATGATTGGGAATATAAGGAAGCAAACAGAAAAAAAGAATAAAAAAAATGAGAATAGTGTTAGGAGCCTCTGGGACTATGTCAAGCATATCAACATTCACATCACGGGAGTGCCAAGAGAAGGAGAGAGAGCAAGAAATGGAAAATCTATTTGAAAAATAATATCAGAAAACTTTCCTAACTCAATGAAGAAAATAGACATACAAGTCGAGGAAGTGCAGAGAGTCCCAAACAAAATGAACCCAATATGCCAAGGTCACAGGTTTGATCTTCAGTCAGGGCACATGAAGTAAACAATGAATGCTTGGGAACCAATAAATAAGTGGAACAACAAATCGATGTTTCTCTCTCACTGTTTCTTAAAAAAAATCAAGAAACAAAATTTAAAAGTTAGAGAGAATGAATAATGGGGGTCAATAACCATTTCTGTCCTACCACTTAAAAGAATTGAACAGGAGTTTGCGATACAGAGAATGAAATTCAGAGAAAAATCTGTGGGTTGAGCCAATCTTTCCATTTCTAGTCCCTACACACAGACTGCTGAGCACTACACAACTGCACAGGTAGTAGCAAAATGAGTGATTATCAAACCTTGGGTGCACCTCAGCACCCCAGTTAATCTGCACTGGTGCCTGGGCAGCTCTGTCCTCCATTCCTGTAGAGGGCGTTCCAAACCTTCAATGTTCCAAACCTGCAATGCCTCCCTGACCTTTGACACTCCATAGGAAATGGACACTTTCAAGCAAGGGTGCCTCAACTTCTCATCCCCATATCTACAGCTTTTTTCCATCATCCCCCCCAGCCAAACACCTATCTTCTAGTTTTCTTTGTTGATGTTATTGTTTGTTTTTCTTTTCTTTATGTTTTGTTTTATTGTGCCCTTTCCCCTGGTTAAGATAAACCCTGCTTCTCAGGAACCAAGACCCGATGATTACTATGATGTCTATATCTTCTCTATCCCAACACTTTCTAAACATTTCAAGCCTCCCCTATTTAAAAGAAAAAAATTAGTTTCAGCCCTCTTTGACTGTGGGCTGCCACTGCCCTCTCTCTATGTGCCTACACAGCCCAAAGTTCTAGGTAAAATTATCTACTTTCCTACTTCCCATTTCCTCTTCAACCCATGACAATTCTATTGCAACCTGACTTCTGGCCCCTATTGTCCACTGAAACCAGTCTGGTCGAGATCCCTCATGACCTACTAATTGCCAAATCCAATGTTCTCTTTTTCATCTTCATCTGTCCTAACACTTCCTTAACACATGACTCTTGATACTTTCCTTCTGGAAATCCCTCTTATGGCCTCTTATGAGTGGTATGCCTATTCCTTTTCCATTTTATTTTCAGCCTCTCACCGGTGTGCCTGAAATTGTCCCAAAGCAACCAGGTCCCTTTTCACAACTTCAAATACTCCCTTTGTGCTAATAACTCCCAAATCTCAATCTCCAGCTTCAGATCAAAAAGTTTAGTTACTTCCTGGACATTTCCACCAGGATATTGATTTGCTCACAATCCCATGAGGAGCAATTTGGGTTGAACTCAAGTAGGCAGCTCTGCTGGTCTCACAGAGGTCACTCGTGCAGCTACAGTCACCTGCTAGCTCATCTGGTGCTCAGTGGTTTAATATAGCCTCACTCACATATCTGATGGGTGGTGCTGGCTCTTGGCGGGGGCACTACTGTTCTCCTTTATATAGCTCGCCAGGCTTATGCATATCATTGTCTCAGTGTTCCAACTCTGGCCAAACAAGAACAAACCTCAGTGTGCAAGTGCGTTTAAGGGCTCTGCTTGGGTCACTCTCGCTAATGTCTCATTGACCAAAGGAAATTACACAGCCAAGTCCAATTCAAAGGGTAGAGAAAGAAATTCTATTTCTTGATGGCAGGAGCAGCAGAATCACACAGTGAAGAGTTATATATACAACAATGGATGGTATTACTGCAAATAGACAATCTACCACAATGTTCATTCCATCCCATACTCATTTCTTCTCATTTCCTTCCTATCTTAGGGAATAGTGCCAATGTCACCCCCACACTCAAGCCAGAGTCATTCTAGTCTGTTCCTTCCTCCCTTGCAGATACTGTAATTTGGAGGGCTTAATACCAACTCCCAACCTTTCTTTCTACTATGGAGATGTCGATGGCAAACATTCTCTCACACTATTTTATAAGTAGTCATGTGACACAGTTCTAGCCAATAAGTAGAAGTCTATGAGTGGTTTTGCAAAATCTTTTGCTTTCTTATTAAAAGAAACAGGCCCTGTCTTTCTTGTTTTTTCCTTCTGCCCATGAACATTGACAAGATGTCTGGAGAGGCAGCAGCCAACCTGTGAGCATGAGGTAACAAATTTTAAGTAAAGGCCAAGAGAAACACAGAGACACCAATCCTGATATTGCTGAATCACTGAACCAAACAAAGGTAGCAGTTGTTTCAGTCTGGACATCTTGTTATCAAAGAAACAAAATAAGTTCTCTTTTTAAGCCATTCTACATTGTGATTTTTTTTTTTTTTGGTTACTTCAGTCAAACAAATTTCTGACACACATTCACTCTCTAATCCAATCAGTCATCACATCCCACACAGTTTCTCCTGAGGTTTTCTTACCTGCATTTCCTTCACTCTATTCCTGCTGCCTCTGTTATTGGGGAGCAGCAGTACCCTGATGAAAAGTATCCTTCTACCAGCCTACTTCAATTCATAAAATTCTCATTATTGAGCTATGCTTTTGGTTAAGATATAATCTCTATAAACTAACCTTTTCTCCAACCTAATTCTGTTTATGGTCAGACTTTGAATCATTCAGAGACCCTCAATTTCCTATCCTGTGAAGTCTTAGTTACTTAGAATGGTTTCTGATGGTTTCTTGATCTGGCTTTTAATACCTCCTCATGGTTCAGTAGGTCTAGGTGGGACCCAGGAATGGTATTTCTAACAAGGTCTTTCATGATTCGTGCTAACAATAGGGGGCAAAACTACCCTTTGAACAGCATTGGAAGAGTTCTTTTCCTTCAGAGCATTTGCCTCACATTATAATGAGAGATCCCTTCATTCCTTCATTTAGTGGTTCTCAAACATTAGTCTGTATCAGAACCCCGTGGGGGACTTGTTCAGACACAGAACAATGGCAGAGGCCAGTGGGTATTTTTCCAGTCTTTTTTTCTGTACTTTTATAGTACATCTGCGCTTTAGCAATGACATTCTGGAAATTATGTCTTAACCCAAGCACAACTCTATAATGAGAATTTTATGAATTACAACAGGCTGGTAGAAAGGGGACGCTTTGGTCAGGGTACTGATACCCCCCAGTAACAGGACCACATCAGAAGCTGCCCATGATCACCCACACATTAGGATGGCCCAACAGCAGAGAGAGGAAAGATGAGAATTCAGAATGCTGGCAGGCAGCAAGTAGGAGTTGTGGTGCTTGCAGAATTGGTGTCACAGTCTGTTCCTGCTCATGCATATTTGACTTCCTCCGACACCCTCTTGCTGCCACATATCTCTCAATCTGGGGCAGCTTGGTGAGCTTGCCCAACTCTAGCTAAAGTAATTAGGGAATAAATTGTTCCATTTCAGGTTATCTTGGACCACAAACACATTGCTCTGCGTAGCAGCCAAGTCTTCAGGCCAGGTTTTGTGAATACCGGAGAGTGGTTAAAGACTTGCTCACTCACCTGTGGGGAAATTAGCCATCGCTGTGTTTTCAGGACTGTGAGAAGGAAATTTTCACAGAGAGTGTAGTGGCATGGAACTTTCTGGTCCACTGAGATTTTGGGTGTAATTTTATAGTGCTTTCTGGATTAATTGACTCTTTAATAGTGTTTTATAGAAGTTACTTGAGAGAACATTATGCTAAGTGAAGTAAGCAGAGAAACACAAATACCATATGATTTCACTCATGTGTGGACTCTAATGAGCAAACTGAACTAACAAGCAAAATAGAGAGAAACTCATAGATGGAGAGCAGGGTGACCGCTGTGGGGGGTGGTTGGGTTAGGGGGTAGAGGGATCAAGCAAAAAGGAAAAAGGACTCATGGACAAAGTGTGGTCATTGAAGGGGGAAGTGGATATAAAGGGCATAAATGGTAATGGAAAATATACACTAAAAAATAAAAAATGTATAAAAACAGAAGATAGTTGTGTTAGCTCTATAAATAAGGGAGAATGTATACTTATATTATACCTATATTGGCATAACTCACAGACCAGGAGCTGGATGTAGGAGGTGTTTAGGAAGAGAGGGAGCCTAGAACAGGAAGCCATCTTTCTTTTCTGATTCTCTGGCCCATCCTCCTTCCCTCCGCCTATCTATGTGTATCCCCTGCCTCAGTTCCCACCCTCCCTCCCCATCCTGCAGATTGGCTTTCTGTGCTTCTCCTACACAATTGATATACTATGATCACCCTGATCAACATCTTCTCTGTCCCAATACAAGATTCCAGAGAAAGAGAATTTAATGAGTACAGCTTGGGTCCAGGCAGCTATGGCTGGCACCAGCAAGACCGGAGGACCGTCCTGAAGGTGGTAGCAGTTCACACATACCATGCTGTCTTAGACTGGATTCTCCCAGAAGCAGATCCTAAATCAAGAATTCAAGTACTAGCTTATTTGGGAAGAAGCTGGAAGGATATAGACTTCACTCTTATTACTCCCTTTGCTCACCTGCTGGGGCTTTCTGCCACACTCTCGAGCCAGAAGACCAGGAAGCTGGGGAGCCTATTGAGAAAACCCATGTCAGGTCAGCCTCCTAGGGCACGGAGCAGAAGGACAGGAAGTCAATCTGAAGGGGTAAATGAAGACTTGATTCAGACATTTCTCAAGAGAATTGCTATTTACATAAACTAATGCAGATATGAGAAAATAAATTATTCCATTCTTTAGTTATAAGTAATTATAGCATTTAGGCATGCCCAACAGTATTACACGTGAGATTTGAATAATCTAGTGACACTTCGCATTCATCACTATTTTATACAACCTGGGGCCAGAAATGTCAATATATCCCTGGACAAATTTTAAGCATATTTTGATTGGCATAAATATGATCCAGGCCTATCATAACAAACTTAAACAGTTCACTGTCAAATGCAATATGTTTATGTTACATTCCATGTGAGTAGTTAGATCCTAAGCAGAAAGGTATTTATTTGACTTTAGAAGAGGGACCTCAGATTTTGTTCTTTCCATAGTTTCTTTCTTTCTTTAAAAAAATTTTATTCAAGTCATTTTTCATTTTTCAATTTCACTTGACATACAATATTATGTGAGTTTCATGTATATAATCAACTGATTAGATATTGTGTAAGATACTAAATGATCATCCTGACAAATCTTATACTCATCTAACACCGTATATAGTTATTGGAATAATATTGACTGTATTCCCTATGCTGTACTTTACATCCCAGTGACTATTCTGTAATGACCAATTTGTACTTCTTAGTTCCTTCACTTTTTCATCCATCCTCCCAACTCCATCATATCTGGCAACTGTCAAAATGTTCTCTGTATGAGTCTATTTCTGTTCTGCTTTTTTGTTCACTTTGTTGTTTAGATTCAACTGTTGATAGATATGTGTTTATTGCCATTTTGTTGTTCATATTTTTTTTCTTCTTAAAGAACACATTTTAACATTTCATGTAATGCTGGCTTGATGGTGATGAACTCCTTTAGCTTTTTCCTTTTTTTCTTTTTAAATACATTTTTATATACAATATAATAGGGCAGTAGACCCCTCCCTCTCTTTTTAAAAATAAAACAAACCTTTTAAGAAAATCGGCAAGTTGCAAGCTTGTAAACAGTGATTAAAGAGCCCTGAGCAGCCCTGGCTGGCCCTGGTTGGTAGTTCAGTTAGAGCATTGTTCTGATAGGCTGAGGTTGCAGGTTCAATCTCCAGTCAGGGCACATACAAAAATCAACTGATGAATGGATCAATATGTGGTTCCAAATAAGTGGAACCACAAATTGATGTTTCTCTCTCTCCCACTCTCTCTCTCTCCAGCCTCTCTCTCTCTAAAATCAATTTTAAAAAGTCATGAAAGAAAAAAAGTATTCAAGAAATAAGTCAAAATCTTCCCGTCACATACATATTAGATCTATACATTGGAAATTATAACTACCCTAAGGGCATCAATGATCACAGTCTCTCTTCCCCAGAAATTCATCTCAAGTGAAGGGAGCCGAAATAACACTAGAAAAACTATTTCTACATTTGCCATCACACAGGTATGACTCATCTCTCCCCCTGGTCTATCTTAAATCCCCTAGTCAACACTGCCACCTTGTATGGAAAGCTTAAAAAGTTTCCATACAGCTTAATATGCCTTTTGATTCCAAATGGTAACTTTGCTGGGTAATCTTGATCGTAGGTCCTTGCTTTTTCATCACTTTGAATATTTCTTGCCAATCTCTTCAGGCCTGCAAAGTTTCTTTTGAGAAATCAGCTGACAGTCTTATGGGAACTCCCTTGCAGGTAACTAACTAACTGTTATTCTCTTGCTGCTTTTAAAAATTCCCTCTTTGTCTTTAACCTTCTACATTTTAATTATGATGTGTCTTGATGTGGGCCTCTTTGGGTTCATCTTGCTCGGGACTCTCTGTGCTTATTGGACTTGTATGTCATTTTCCTTCACCAAGTTAAGGAAGTTTTCTGTCATTATTTTTTCAAATATGCTTTCAATGTCTAGCTCTCTCTCTTCCCCACTCAGCACCCTCATCATGTGAATGTTGATTTGCTTGAAGTTATCCCCAAAGGCTCTTTACACTATCCTCATTTTTTTAAATTCTTGTTGTAGTTCCTTATATTCCAAATTGCTATTTTGATTCTTGGTTTCATCTACTGTACTGTTGATACCCTGTAATTTATTTTTCATTTTAGTTAGTGTATTCTTCACTTCTAACTGGTTCATTTTTATAGTTTCCATGTCCTTTTTTATGCTGTTGAAATTCTAAGTTCATCTACTCTTCCTCTAAGTTTATGGAGCTTTCTTATAACCAGTGTTTTGATCTCTCCATCTGGTAGATGGCTTGACTACATTTTGTTTAGTTGTTTTTCTGGAGTTTTATTTTGTTCTTTCATTTGGGACATGTTTCTTTGTTTCCTCATTTTGGCTGTGTGCCTATGTTTGTTTCTATGTACTAGGTAGAGTTGCTATATCTCCAGGTCTTGGTAGAGTGGCCTTATGTTGTGGATTTTCTGTAGGGTTCAGTGGCACAGCCTCCCTGCCCCGTGTGTGGGCTGTGTACACTCTTCTGTTGTTAAGCCTTGATTCCTGCTGACACATCAGTAGGAGAGATTTACTGCAGGCCAATCAGCTATAAGGACTGGCTTCAACCACCAACTACCATGGAGGATCAGCTGTGCAGGGACTCACCCCATAAAGCAGTACTTACTTCAGCAGGTCTCTGGTGCCTGCTGAGTCCATCCCTTGAGTATGTAGCTAGTGGAAGTGATTGGTGGGGCTTCAATGTGGTCTGAAGTTGCCGACTGGGTGCGCTGGCTCTGAGGCCTCCTGGGAGGTACAGGCCAAAATTAGCCACCACCAGCGTCCTGCAGGAGACCACGCATGATGAGTTACAATGTGATCTTCAAGTGGCTGCTACTTGCACTGGGCTTAGAAGGTTCCAAGATGAGGCCAATATGGGAACCAAGGCTCACTGCTACCAGTGCTGGGCCTAGGGCCACTTAGTCAGAAGTACAGGACATAGTGAGGCCAGATGCTACTTGCTTGAGAGATTTTAGGAAAGGCTAAAGCATGAGTCAAGACAGGCCATTTGCATGGAAAAGCTACTGGAAACAGCTTGGGAGGGCCTGCAAATTGAGTGGGGCAAGGTCTCAGGGAATCACCAAGGTGGGGTTAACAATATCAGCCATGTTGACAGAAACTCATATATAGTACCTGCCTGCTGGCTTTGCACATGGCTTTGCATGGGGTTGGAAGGGATAAGGAGGGTCTCAGGAAAGGAACAATGTCCTCTATGAATACTTCTGTCTGGGAGAAAGCCTGCCACCCCCACCCCACCAGCTCACACCCTAATGCCAGATCATTTACCTCCTTCCTGTATGTCTCTGGTGCTTTTTGAGCTGCTTCCCCTCAGAGAGAGTAGATGTGAGCTCAGAGGGAATAACTCTGAGTTATTGTGTGAGAGCCCATGCAGAGGAACTGCCTGGGACTCCAGAAGCTTTCTGTCTCCCTCAGCCACCATCCCTGCTGATTTTTACATCTAGAAGTTATGGGGACTTCTGTTCCAAGCACTGAAATCCTGGGCTTGGCTAGGGGGCCTGGTTTGGGGCTGGGACCCCTTGCTCCTCAGTGGGGAACCTCTGCAGCCAAAATATCCCTCCAGATTTTTATTTGCCACAGGTGGGTGTGGGACCAGCCTGTTCTGTGTGACTTTGTCCCTCCTACCAGTCTCATGTGGCTTCTTCTTTAAATCCTAGTTGTAGGACTTCCACTCAGCTGGATTTAAGGCCTTTCTGAACAGTGGTTATTCTGTAGTTTAGCTGTAATCTTGATGTGGTTGTGGGAAGATACAATACTGTGTTTTCCTGTGCCGCCACCCTGACCAGTAGCCTCTTCTCCATAGTTTTATGTGTTATTTTGGAAGTCATTGTCCAGGCTTTATTTAAACTCCTGTCACATTGATCCAATTAGAATCCATAAATATTTGTAAATCCTTCTCCAACCAGCTTTCACTGAAGGTCTTATGTATTTTCTGAAACAACAACAAAAACAACTTGTTTGTATTAGTTTCTTGTTACTGCTGTAACAAATTACCATGAACTCAGTTGCTTGAAACAACAGAAATTTATACTTTTTATAGTTTTGGATGTCAGCAACCTAAAATGGGTCAGGACTGGATTCTTTTCGAAAGCTCTGGGGAAGAATCTGTTTCCTTGGCCTTATTCAGCTTAAAAGAGCTACTCGCATTTCTTGGCTCGTGGCCCCTTTCTCCAGTTTCTCTTGGGATACTCTTTGAACCCAGCCACCTTGCTGCGAGAAGCCCAAGCAGAGCTGTGAAGAGGCCTCGTGTTGGTGTTCCAGCCGACAGCCAGCAAGCTCTGCCAGACCTGTGAGTAAGCAACTTCAGATCATGTCAACCCCAAGTTGTCAAGTCACTCCCTGCAATCTGAGTCTTCCCAGTTGAGGCCCTAGACATTGTGGAGCAGAAACAAGATATCCTTACAGTGTCCTTTCTAAAGTCCTGACCCACAGGGTCTGTATCATAATAAAGTGGTTGTTATTTCATGTGACTGAGCTTGGCACAGTTTGTGTTGCTGCAATAGTAACTGGGTACTCAGGTCAACACAAATGTGGAAGGACACAGCATTCTTGCCAGTAAACACAAGATAACCAAATCTTAATTTTTTTCCCCCAACTTGTTTAAGACTGTCTCAACCCCACAAATCTAATCCAGAGCTGGTCTTTCCTTTCTCCTCCAATATAATTTGTCTTTTCTAATCAATTCATGTGGCTGGAGCTCAATGATCTAAAGATTTAATGAAATCTCATAGAATCTGGAAGCAAGTGCCATTTAAAAAGATACTTCTAAACACCAATACATATTCACTGTTATTTAGACTATTTGAAATTTTTTTAAAGGGTAGACTTAGTTTTTTTTCTTAAAATTTGTTTTTGTAAAATGTGATTAAGCCCTGGCTGGTGTGATTCAGTGGACTGAGTGCTGGCCTGTGAACCAAAAGATCACCTGTTCAATTCCTAGTCAGAGCACGTGCCTAGGTTGCTGATGCTTCCCCGGTTGGGGACGTGAAAGAAGCAG